TCCTATTCCTCCTCTTTATCAAGACCAGCACATACTAGATGTGCCTCCTGCTGGTGCCTGCAGACTCAAACCCCATCAATCCAGAGGTGACTCCTGCCTGCAGCCTCTCATCTTCATTTTTGATTCAAAGTTCACATATTAATGGAGAAGCCTCTGGCCTCTCTTATCTCCTGAACAGCAGTTCCCCTTCTCTTTTAATCAAGGCAGCAGATGGAGATAAGATTCCCTCCACCCTGTATGGTGGAAGGCAGCGTTCCAGCAACAAAGAGATACAGCAGCTTCCCTTTACTGCTGATATTTGGGCTCTTTTGGTGACCATTTATGAAAATCGCAATTAGCTTCGAGTAAATATTGTTCTGCTTCACATTCTGCTCTCAAGCTGGATTGTTATCAGCCACCACCACCCAACACCTCTCCAGCACTGGAGGGAGGCTCATGAAGAAAAAGCAGTATTTCTTCATTCCTCCCTGATAATAATGTGCATTTGAAATATTTTTAGCCCTTTTCTGTGTGCTATAAAACATGCTTTTTAGGAAAATAGAGAGACATTGAGTATATTGTTTAAATTATGAGCCTGACAATGTAGCACTGAGTCTCCTGGTTTAGGGGGAGGAAAATTGTTTGGGTTAACATCTGGGGACACTAATTATCAGTGCTTTGGTTATGTACAGAAATAAATGCCATGAGCTTTTATATTTTCTCTGTTTGACTCTTATAACTTCTCTGGACACACGGATGGGAAGAAGAGAGAAGCACTTCCAGCAGGAACAGCATGGCCAAAGCTCTCCAGGGACTTTCTAGGTCTGTATTTAAGGTGCCCCAGAGACATGTGGTTAAATGCCCCATCAGGGCTCCAAAACAGGGGTGTGAAGGCCACCTCTGCTCCTAGAACCCCCCAGAGCACCCTTAGAGATGACAACAACCATGCAAGAGGGGGTTCCCATGGGGCCAGAGACCCTGCCTCACCCTCTCCTGCCAACTTCTGCAGAGGTATTGGAGGCCATCCAAGACTTTTGCTTAAAATCAGGGCTTCCCCTGCACCAAGGCTCTGCTGATTACAGGGCAGTCTCTTGGAGCTGGCCTCAAGGACACAGAGAGGGGGCTTGCCCTCGGGTCTGAACAGGGGGATCCCTGTGTGCCCGTGGGAGGGGGGAGCCCTATCACCCTTGTTGCCCTGCTCAGCTTTGCAGCTTTGATAGCAGCTCGGAGTGCCCTGGCTCCCCAGCCTCACCCTTTCACCAGGAGCAGCCTAGAATTTCCCACTCCTCCAGTCTCAGGGCAGGATTTGTCTCAGGGCAGGGCTCAGCTGTGTTTTACACCCCCATGAGATGCTGTAACCCCTCCTGGCAGGCACTACCCTTGTGACCACCTGCACAATCCCTATCCAAACTCACTGCTCTCCCACGTGTTTGGGGGGAACTGTTCAGACCCCAAATCTCTCAGCCTTGGTGTTTGCTCCTCACACAAAGCCAAGAAGCACCCTCCTGCCATTTGGGACCTTTTCCATTGCTCTCTTTCCCCTTTCTCCTTCTCTAAAGGAGATTCAGAGAGGCAGATTTATCATTCAGCTGAGATTTACCCTAATTTTTGAACTTCTAGTCTTATCCTGCCAGAGGGGCCAGGTCCTATAACTGGGATTGGAGTTGAGAATGTGTTTCCAGATCCCATGGAAATGATGATGATGTTTCAATAGAGATTTTACCAGTTTGCACTGGTGCTGGAAGCTTTGCTTTCCTGCTGAGCCACCAAACCCCTCAGGTTTTCCAGGCCCCTTCCCGAGATTTTTTTCCCCAGTCCTGGGTGGATGCTCAAACAGCAAAGGCAGTGAAGGGACATAGACCTTTTAGTGAAGTCACCCATTTCTTTGGGAATGGCTCCAAACCCTCCTAGAAGGGACCTTTCAGACTCAGTTGCCCAGCACAGGCAGCACTGTGCCCATGGAGCTGGAGTGGAGCCACCTCAGTCTAAGTGGGCAGAAAGGGACCTGGACATGTCCCCAAGTGCCAGATCTACACATCTTTTATCCTCCCAGGGATGGTGACTCCACTGCTGCCCTGGGCAGCCCATGCCAGTGCCTGACAGCCCTTTCCAGGAAGAAATTTTTCCTCACATCCAGTCTAAACGTCCCCTGGCTGTTTCCTCTCATCCTGTGACTTGCTCCCCGGGAGCAGAGCCCGACCCCCACCTGACTCCATCCTCCTGTCAGGAAGTTGTAGGGGGTAAGAGAATCCCCCCCCTCCGAGTCTCCTTTTCTCCGGGATAACCACCCCCATCTCCCTCAGCCTCCCCAAACGGTCCTTTCATCCATGAGCAGAGGAAAGGGATATACAGGGAGGGGTGGGGTGCCAGATCTGATTCCCGCTGGAGATCCCCCAGGACAGCCCCTACCCAGCTCCGAGGGACCTGGCAAGGGGCGAGAGGCAGAGCAGCCCAGAGCCAGGAGCCGGAGCAGGGCTCCCGCCGCCTCTCCAGGAGTGGCTTTGCACGTGGAGCTGCAGGTCGGCAGTGACTTCCAGTGGCCGCAGCCAGATCTAACAGAGGTGCCAGGACAAAGCCCCTCCGCTCCGGCCCCGCGGGGCTGTCCCACAATCGGCACGCAGAGTCGTGGGACCTTTGTGATGGATCAGGGCTGACCCCCGGCAGACCTTTATCCCCTGAGCTGCGTTCTGGGTGGCAATGCCATCCTCTCCTGGCCTCCAGGCTTGCCATCACAGGCGATTTCTCATATTTTCTTTTCCCCCGCAAGCCACACCATTCCCAGGACATCTTGTACAGCCCTCAGGAGAGCATATGGGCACCACTCACCAAACAGGGCGATAAAACATTATCTGCCTGTCTATCCCAGCTGGCTCCGGAGACAAAACTAACACGAGAAAGTGTGCACAAAAGTGAGGGCAATGTGCATGAGAGCACAGACCGTGGGCTGGGAGCAGCTCTCCCTGGGAACCGAGCCTAAAGCGCTGGGGCAGAACTCTGATCAGCCACTGCTCTCTCCTTCCTCGGCAGCTTGTAATAAAAAGATTGTCTTTCCTCACTCCTGGGCCCCACTGACTTGCCAGGCCCCGTAAAAAATTAAAAGAAAAAGTGGTTTGGAACTCACCAAAGCAGTGGTGTAAGTCCCAGCACCGAACTGTGGCAACAGCAAACCTCCCGTAGAGCTGCAGTTGCATATCCCAAGCCTCTGCTGCAGAGCTTGCAGCTGCCCTGGGCCATGCACATCACACCAACAAACCTGCAAGGCTTCCCTGAAAGCCTGGGACAGGCACAGGGACACTTACCTGGGAGTCACAGCACCCTGGAGTCACGCTGGAGCAGACTGGGGTAAGCAGTGGAGCATCCATGGAGCAGTAACCGGCAGGGTTGCTGTTATAACCTGCCCAGCCATCAGGGGTGGAGGGAAAAAGCTGTGAAGCTGCAATGGGACACAGCTGGGCAAACCACAGCAGCTGTGCCACGAGGTTGTCCCTGCAGGAAAAGCTGGGGGGAAAGCTCAGGGCCAGGGCTGGTGAGTCAGGCAGGGAGCCTGGGAACTGGCTGAGCTGAGCCAACAAGTCTCCAGGGCTGGGATAAAACCCTCTGGCACATCAGGTCCAAAACCCATGGGAAAAAAGCTGATCTTTTCCTAAGAAATTGTTCTACCCACTCCATCTTGGCCAAAAATGCAAGTATTTTGCTTTCTATAGGGAAACGGGTATTAGCAGTGTTTGAAGAGACAGCCAGAGTCCCAATTCTGTGTGGGACAAGGGTACAAAGGGTGACATGGGGACAAACACCTGCTCTGGCCCATTTTATGGAATCAAAGAATCACAGAGTGGTTTGGTTTGAAAGGGACCTTTCTGCTCACCTCGTTCCACCCTCCTGCCATGGTCAGGACACCCTCCACCACACCAGCTTGTTTCAAACCCTGTCCAACCTGGCCTGACAAGAAACCCACTGGCCACAACCACACCAGTTGCAACCCTTGAGGTCTTTCCTATCCCTTTTAAAGCCGAAAAGCCTTCTCTGCCCAAATATTTTGGCTGCTGCAGTCTCATAGACAGAAGGTGCAGTGAGCTCTAGGCCTGCTATGTGAAAGGGAAGCATCCAACCACTTGGCAACATACAGGTGGAAAAGCTTTTCCATGGTAAAAATCAAAGCACTTGAAAATGTGGAGTTTAATATTATGTACTTTGCACTTAACATTGACACATGGTTAATTAAGATGTGGCATGTAGTCACTGTAGCAAGTCAGAAAAGCTATATACAACTGAAATTATTACACATTGGATAACTTCTATGATTTGCAATTTGCAATCAGTTATAAAAACAAGTGTTTAACAATTAAATTGTTAAACAAGTGCTGCAAAGATCCAGAGGAATCCAGTGTGGTTGTATTTTAAGGAGTGACGTGGTTGGGTTTGGGTTTAACCTTTTAAGAGGGACCATTAAAAACACAAGGGGAAGGACTGAGTAACTTGCTGCCAAAAGATGTAGTGATCCCACCATCACTGTGAGCACCTGAGGCCTGCAGGAGACATTTAGCAGGAAGTGAAGTAGGAAAGAGGAAAATAAAGCATTGTTTGAGGGATTACAGCAGCATCAATCACCACCACCACATCTATGAAGTTTTCATAGGAAGCACCCATTTTCCATGAACATGGCTTTACAGCAGCTTCCACGCTCCCTGAGAGCAAAGCCACCTTGTTGTCATCTCCTAACCCATCCTTCCCTCCCTGTAAGTGCCACTAGTTTGTCTTTGCCCCCACGGTCCTCAGTAAAGTGGCACTGGGGACCACTCAAGCGTCCCCTCTTGGCCATGCCCTGGAGTTCATTTATAGCTGCCTGCAAAGGGCAGGAAGAAAGGCAGGGAGTGCACATCCAGAGAGAAGTTTGGCTGCTCCCTCCGGCCCCTCCTCTCGCCTGCCTTGTCCTTGAGCGCTCCTTATTCCCAGCTGCTGTCTGGCAGCGCGCTCCTATCATCAGGTGTCGTCCTTCGGGCGGGCTATAAAGGCACGGCGGGATGCAGCGCGTTCCCGGAGGTATCCCTGCCCCTGCCATGCTGCAAGCCACCGTCAAGCTGTGCTGTGGCATCGCCCACGATCCCCTCCGCCGCCTGCCCGGTAAGCCCCGCTGAACTCCCCTCCAAGCTCGGGACAAACAGGCAGGACAGAGGGTCCTAAAGGACATGTCGGGTCTGCATCGGATGGGCGTCTCCTTAGGAATGTCACATCTATGGTCCCCCTGTGCTTTATCACACAAGGGGTTAGTCTTGGGCCCAGGGCAGATGACCTCCCAGCAGGGATGTGGGGCACCATGGAATCATCCCTGCCCACTCTGTGCTCACCCAAGCCCACCCGTCTCTCCCCTTAGGCTTGAAGACAGCAGCTGTTGCAGCAATACAGAAGGACATCAGAGGGCTGGTGGCAAGAGGATCCCATCACCTGCCTTCCAAAATTCCTCATTATTTTCAGAAGCTGATGGGGAAGGACACAGGTAAGCTCAGCCCGGGCCTGTGGGTACCACCTTTCCTAGCCTTGCTCGCAGCCTCCTTGCAGCACATGATGGAGGGATGTGCAATAAATGCACCCCCTCCCACAAAATTGGACCCATGTTTTGGGGGACAAAGTGTCTTCTTACTGCTGGGCTGGTCTCCAGCTCTCTGCTGGCTTAATAGCATTGCCTGTGCTGATGGCAAGCTGTGGGAGAGCCTGAGGCTGTGGGAAGGTAAATAGCATTTGCTCACTGTAGAGGCAGCCAAAGCTTTTAGCAGAGGTCACAGGTACTTATCCGTGTTTTGCTGCACTCCTGCTGTGTCCCTAGTTACACCACTTACCTAAAGACTTGAAAATTGGCAAATTCATCTGCTTTTTTCGAAGCGTGGCTCAGTCCAAGGGCTGCCTGTATGATGTTAGTAACACCCAAGCAACGCGCAATTTGTACCACGGTGTTACCGGGAATTGCTTTGGAAAGCAGTTTCAAAGAGCTTTCCAAGCAGTCAGCACAGACACAGCAGATAGAAGCCAGCAAGGCTTTCTGGACCAAGCCATCCCTCTGCCCAGCAGGGGACCAGTTGCATGGGAAGATCCAAGATTTTGGGTCAGCAAGCCTCTTCTGCTCCAGCTCCTTCGTACTTCTGTACTCACAGCCATGTCCGCAGGCAAAGCTGGGGGAGGGGGGTGTGTTTCACATTGCTCTGCCTTCCTCCTGCAGCTCCCTGCCCCGAGCCCACCAGAGATGTCAGCCCCAGCCAGTCCTCCAGCCTGGACCTCTCCTACATCCGCCAGGGAGAAAGGGCCCTGCAGCAAGCACTGAGCATCCTGCAGCAGCACACCAGCTGGCAGGCAGAGCCCGTGCTGGTAAACCCTCACCACCTCTGTCCTTGGCTGTTCGTGCCAGAAAAGCTCTCAAGGGGAGAAATTAGTCCGGGGAGGGGGGGTTTGCTTCGCAGAATCACAGAATGATTTGGGTTGGAAGGGACCTTAAAGCCCATCCAGTTCCAGCCCCTGCCAGGGGCAGGGACACCTTCCACTAGACCAGGTTGCTCCAAGCCCTGTCCAACCTGTCCTTGAGCACTTGCAGGGCTAGAGTGGCACGGTTCAGATGTGCCAGTTTTGGGGTTGACTGGGGCTCTCTTCTCCCCCAGGACACCGGTGCCGCCGTGTCCAGCGCTGCCCTCCCCGGGTGTTTCAGGCAGAGGTGGTCCTGACTGTGCCAGTGGCACAGCTGCACCAGGAGCTGTTTGAGAGGATGGAGCAGATGCCCCAGTGGAACCCAAACCTCAGCCAGGTGAAGGTAAGGTGGGGCAAGATGCCACCATGGGCAGATGGTCCAAAATTTTCCATTACCAGGGTTGCCAGCACCCAAAAAACCCCATATTTATGGGCAGTTTTAATATTGCTGGAGGATTAAAGCTGATTCCACACTCCTGCAAGAGCAGGATATCACCCCAGGGAGAGGAGATGTGCTTTCTGGCACGGCATTGTAAATGTGTCATTTCCAAGCTCTCTGTTCCTCATGGTGCCAGTTCACAGAGGTTTTTCCATATCAGGGAATTTGGCATTACGCAGACTCTAATGTCAGAGGAATCAGACAGCTCAAAAAAAAAGAGGCAAAATCAAACATATTCACCCTGTAGGAAGCTTGTGTTGTCCTGGGCTTCTTTCTCGGCTCCCAAATTACAGCATATCCCTAAGGAAGCTGCCAGTCCCAGAAAGTCTCCCCTTGCTCACCCAGGCTGGCTCAGATGCTCCCCAGCCTCTGCTTATTTATTGCTACCACTTACCTGTGCCTTCTGGAAAAGAAACAGCATCGAGAAGTTCCCATCTCAGATTAAATAATAATAAAAAAAAAAGCTGCAAAATCATCGCTTTTCCCTCTTGGAGACTGGAATTTAATTACTCACAGGTGTCAGCCTCAAAAATCCCTTCTCGCTGCTGCTTCTGCCCACGCTGCTGTCCCCCAGGTGGCTCAGGGGGAGGAGTAAGGGGGTGTCAGAAATGTTCCCGGAGGGGCAGCCACAGGAAGCCTAATCCTAATTCCTGGCACGTTCCTTGCTCCGGCAGGTGCTGCGGCGGGTCGGGACGGACACGCTGGTGACACACGAAGTCACCACTCCCAGCCCGGGCAACCTGGTGGGGCAGCGGGACTTCGTCAGCGTGCGGCACCGCGGGAGGAGGGACGCGGCCATCTACCTGGTGGGCACTGCCACCCACGCCGAGCCGCCGCCCCCGCAGGAAGGGTGCATCAGGTAAGGTAACCCCCCTTTGCCCCCAAAAGGACCGTCACGGGGTATCGTGTCTCTGCAGAGGGGGGGCCACCGCTGCAGCCCTGAATGTGGGCACCGGGCACAGCAAGGGAGGCACGCCAAGGGCTGCACCCCCGTTGGGGTTGCTCTGGGACCTCCTTGCCCCCGTGTGCCCCCCGGGGGGGACCCTCACTGCCTGCTCCCCTGCAGGGCCGAGTCCCGGCTCAGCTGCATCGTCCTGCAGCCGCTGGCGGGGGACCCCGGCCGGACCCACCTCACCTGGCTCCTGAGCATGGACCTGAAGGCAAGTGCCACCTGGGCAGGGACAGCGAGGGGTGCACACCCCACTGTGCAAAGCCCCCTCCTCCCTTTGGCCCGGCAGGACCAAACTTGGGGGTGTTTTGTCTCCCGCAGGGCTGGATCCCCGCGGCCGTGCTTCACCGTGTCCTGCCACAATCCCAAGCCGACTTCCTCGAGCACCTCCGCCGGCACCTCTGTGCCACTGCGGGCCCCTGAGCTGCGGGGAGACGGGCTCTGCCCCGGCAGGAGCGAAGTGGTCAGAGCTGGAGACTCATTCCTGGCTCAAAGCAAGGCTGGACGGGGCTCAGAGCAACCTGGTCTAGCAGAAGGGAGTTAGAACAAGATGATCTTTAAGGTCCCTTCCAACCCAAACCATTTCATGATTCTCCACTCATTGCCAGTGATGGGGTGAGACAGTGCACCCACCAAGCAACCCTGGGCATAGAGAACACATTCCCTTCTCCCAGCACCGTGCTTCTGCTTCAAGGATGGAGTGGAGCAGCCAAAAGATGGGAAAACCAAGGCTGCACTAAGCCTTGCACGAGGGGTTACCTAAAAACCCCAGCAAAAGCAGCTGGTGTTCAGCATCATAGAGGAGCAGCTTTTTGGCCTGAACTAGCAACACATCAATATTTATTTTTGCAATGGCCAAACCACCTATTTATGTGTGTGTATATGTATATACATAGAGGTTTTTCCCCTGCTCAAAACAACAATGTGAAATTCTGGCTGATAAAGAGGAGTGGCTGGGTTGAAATAACGTAAAATAAACCCATTTCAACAACCGTTTGTATTTCCCCCTTCACACACCCACCCCACAAATAAATTAGCAGCAAGAGATTTTTATGTGGATTTCTTTTTCTTTTTTTACATTATGTTAGAGTTCAAAAAAAAAACCCAACAAAATTAATAAATATTAAAAGTTAAAAAGCTCTGAATCTCATATGTACAAAATTTTATACATCGTGGTAACACTGGACAAGGGTTATATCACAGGAATGACACGATGGCTCTGCCAGGCCCAGGAGGATGAAGGGGACTAGGGGACTAGAGTCATCCTCTCCTCCTGGAGACAGGATCAAATCCCTGTGTAGCCAGAGCTACCCAAGCTCAGCCTGCCCTCAGCTGGAATAAATTCCCCATCCCTGGCAGTGTCCAAGGCCAGGTTGGACAGGGCTCAGAGCAACCTGGTCTAGTAGAAGGTATCCCTGCCCATGGCAGGGGTTGGAACAAGATGAGCTTTAAGGTCCCTTCCAACCCCAACCATTCCAGGATTCCATGAAATACCCAGTGCTGGGTGCCAGCCCTGCAGCATCACCGCCCCAGAGCAGTGTGTGTGGGGGGATTATCACACCCTGCTTTGAATCTCCCCCACCTCTCAGCTTGAGGTCAGGGTTAGCACCTGCAGCCCCCCTTGCCCAAATTCCCCCAGGGGACCCCAGCTGTGGGGTGTGAGGGGCCCCTGCTCCGAGGTACAGCAAGGAACCACTGCAAATATTCCTAATGCAATAAAGCACCAATGCCCAGGCCAGCACTGAAGGGGGGGAGGCTGGGGGTGCAGCTGGGAATTTGGGAGGAAGAACATCACAGCCCATTTTTGAGGGGGAAGGGGTCTTTTTCTTATGCTCCTTGGAGAGTAAACGGAGCATTATCTTTGGCACAATAAATAAATGCTGGCACTCCTGTGGAGGGCAGTGGAGAGGCTGGCAAGGGGCACGGCAATCTGAGGGATAAATCCCACCCTGGCACACCCACAGCATCTCGTGGGTCCTGTGGGTGCCAATACCTGCACGACTTGGATCTGGGCACCCCACAGGCACCCTCCACATGCCCACTCCCACAAGGTGTGCCAGTTGCTTGGCTCAGACAGACAGGGGCCTTTTTTTTCCCCATCTTTTGGGGTGCCCACCTAATGCCAAAGGGCAGCACCCGGGAGCAGGGGACCTGCAGCCTCAGGTGCTTTGAGAGCAGTTAGATAAATGTGTGTCCAGCCGTGACTTGGCAGCGATCTGGGGGCAGTAGGGTGAACAAGCCACCCTCTTCACATCTCTTCAGCCCTTTTTATGCTGCAGGGAAGCTCTGGGGGAGCGTGGCAGTGTCCAGTTAGGAATGCAGAGGGGTCTCCCTCCATTTCAGCCAAAGCAGGTATCTCAACCCCTCCCCTGCTGCAATCCAAGCCAGACCAGAAAAGTCACCCCAGGCCACCTTACCAGCAAGCCCCAGACACCTGAAGAGCTTACAAACACTGTCCCTAGGGATGCCCCATCCTGCTCCTTGGATACCAGGGAAGCAGCACCAACAAGGCCAGCGGATGCACCCACACCACGCACGTGCTGCCAAGACATTCCCCACTTTGCAACGCCAAACTGGTCTGTCTGCCAAGCCTTGCCTTCCTCAGACTCCATCTCTGTGCCCAAATCCTCCTCCCTAGGGCAGCGCTCACCAACCCACCTTCCCCTGCCACTGCACCTGGGGGGGCCCAACGCCCTCAGCTGGGGAGGCTGCACAGCCGTAAACACCAAAACCAGGGCAGCCCCCTGGGGGACACCATTCTGGGGAGGGTTTAAGGACTGTAACTCCTCCAGGCAGACCCTGTGCCCAGAGCTGGCCTGACACCTGGCAAGGTGTGCCCAGCCCGAGGCTCCTAAAGTGCTGTGCATACATTTAGTACTTGGCACAATAATTTTTAATGGCATTAATCACCCCCCCTTCCACTCCTTACCACGCAACAAAAGATGCAGATGAATCTTCCTCTCTCCTCTCTTTAACTGCCCCTAAAATCCACTTCCTGCTTCCCAGTCACCTCCATTTCCCTCCAGCAGGTGTTGATGCCCCACAGGCACTGGGTACAAGGTGCAGGGATGAGGCTGCTTGTCCTGGGGAGGCTGGGCATTGGTATCAGCTCAAGGCTGGCCAAGGGCAGTATTGGCTAAAAAAGTCACTCCCAAGTGACAGGCATTTTTTACATCAATTTTTGGTCCTTGGCCTGGTTCTTATTGCTCGCATTGGAACTTCCTGGACCATTTCCTGCCTCCAGGACAGCAGCTGCTCTATGTTTTTCACGCTCCACCTTCTCCCAGACAGGTTTCGAAAACTCTCTACCCCAACAGGGACGGCCCAGAGCAGCATTTTGGGATTTTCCCACAATTCCCCCTCCCCTCACCACCTCCCTCCAGTTCCTTGTCCCCTCAGATTCCCAGTATCCTCCCACTGCTACCCCCAAGCTCTGAGGCTGAGCTGCCAAGCCAGGACCCTCCTCTCCTGTGCTGCTGCTTGGAGCAGGGAAAGGAAAAAGCAATATTAAAGCCACTCTCTTCCCAAATCTTTTTAGCACCTTGGGAGGAAGTAGCCTGTCTACCCACAGTGTTTTTTTGCTCCTTATCACCTTTTTTTTCCATGGCGCTGTCAGAAAAACGCCACAGCCGGGAGGGCAAGGGGAATCACAGGAAATAAGTGGTTTTCCTGGGAATTTCTGGGTGTGGAGCCGGGTCATTTCCAAACCTGGCAGTGCCACCCACGAAAACCATCGCTAGAAGTGAGGGGAGAGAGGAAAAAGAGGGGGGAAAAGGGAGGGAAGGAGGGAGCAAGGCTTCCCCCGCCCCCCGGTGAGGTGGCCCCGAGTGGGTTACCTGGCTGCCTGGCCCCTGCTCGGTTCGCTCGGGGCCGGCAGCCCCCCGGGAAAAGCACCACTGCTGGATAGCCCAGGTGTTGGAGTGGGGTCCCCACCTGCTGTGGGGTATGGAGAGAGTGCCGGAGCGGGGCTGGGAGCGGTGATTCCCGAGGGAGCGCTGGGGCCAGTGACGGGGCTTGAGCTGGTGGTGGAGGAGGCTTTCTTGCCACAGGATTCACAGCAGAGTTTGTTGTATCCAGGGATGGAGCAGTAGCGAGCCAGAACCTCCATCTGGCAGAAGATGGACTTGTCCCCGAGGCAAGGCTCCCCTGGAGAGGGACAGCAGCGTCAGCACAAGATAAGGTGGCACGAGGTTCCCACTCCTGCGCCTTTGCGATGGTCCCAAAGGCAACAAGGTGCCCTTTCAGGGTGCTGCCTATCCACAAAGCAAGGGAGGAAGAGGGACTCGGAAAATGAAGCCAAAGCACTCAAGGATTCTGTGCACAGAGAAAAAAAGAGAGAACAAGGGATGCTCCAAACCAGCATCCTACATTGGAGCGGGATGCGCCTCACCCCAGTTAGGAAGGACTCTTGCTCAGAGCAAGGGGCAAAAGCTAGAAAAAGCCAAAAAAATTCCAAGATAAAGACGGTATAAAATCCGTGAGGCAAAAGGAATGCAACACAGAAACTGCAAGAGCCTGGGCTCCACAAGATGGCAACCGAGCTGCAGGCTTTGGAGCAGAGGCACCAGGGATGCAGCAGCCGAGGGTAAAACTCCCCAAAAGCACTGCTGGATGTGTCCCAGCTGCCAGCTGCCTGCATTTCCCACAGGGAGGAGGAGATGGCCTCAGGAGGGTTATCGCAGGAAGCATTGCCCTCCCGCAAGCAGGGACACTCACTAGAGGAGATCTTGCTAACGGGGTTTTTGGCTCCATCCTGGGGCACCCGCTGGCCTTTGGTGGGGCTGTGGTCACCGGCGTCGGCGCTGGCGGTGATGCCCGAGAGCTTCCCTGCTGAGAGAGCACCACGATGCCCAGAGGCCACAGGAGGCTGGGGCACTCAAAATAGCTCGGGAGAGTGTTTTGGTGGGGGATTTGCTTTGTTTTAAGGGATTTCCTTAGCGATGAAGTCCCTTAGGGAACACCCAGTTGGCCCAGCACCTCAGCCACCCAAAAAACACCCAGGGTGCCCATCTCCATTGTACCCTCGGCTCATCACACCCTCAAACTGCCAGAAAACCCCAAACCAGCCAATATCAGGATAAAGAACTAAAAAGGGAAATATTCTGGCTGGTGTTTAACCCATTCTCTGCCAGCAGCTGATGTTCAACCTGACCTTCTCTGCTGGCACCTCCTGAAGCCACCATGGGCTGGAGACATGCGTGAAGGTTGATCCCCACCAGCGTGTGCCCCATCCCAGTGCCACCTCCAGCTCCCTCCCCCTCCTCTCACCTGGGCAGACGGCCACGTGGCAGCCCTGGATGGCCTCTGGCTTGTCTCCCTCGCAGCGCCCGCCGCTCTCGCTGCCCTTGCACACCACCTGCCGCTGCTGGACACCCTCCCCGCAGGTCGCTGAGCACTGCACCCAGACAGACAGACAGACAGCC